GTACGACTGTGAATATAAAAAAATGTCAGTAGTAATCATTTCAGGTGTGAGTTTTGCCTAACTTCTTTTTTCTCTCCTCATTATATGATGTTGAAAGAAAACTGTTTTCCTCATTAGGACACTGGTCACACCATGATCTTGGTTGACTGCCCCTGAATTAAATGCCTATCCTGTGGTCTCCTCTGCAGTCCTCCTTAGGGTGGTCTCTTCCAGAAAACCCTTTGTCACATAATTTTTGAGTGTATGAATTTCATTTAACTTCTGAGGTAGATTTCTACCTTTCACATGCTCTAAAGTTTCTTAGAACAGCCCATCCATATGAGGAGAAGTAAAGTGTAAGTTTATTTTATGAAATAGAAGAATGCTTTTGTGGCTCACATATTTAGATATCTTTTAATTGGTTTAACCTGTCTTGCTTAAGTGCTATATTTCTTACCATGTTTATATTTTTAATTCTGTACTTAGATTGGTTGATTACATTAAAATCATTCTGTATGCCCTCTCAATTAAGAAGGTGGTAAAGATGAACAGGAATTGAAAATATGATGTGAAAGCCTATTTGAATAACATTTACCTACTATAGACACAACATTCTTGCCTTTTGGAAATGTGGCTTCAGATGTTTAAATGGCTCCTTTTTATTACTGGGGATTGAACTCAAGACCTTGTGCTTGCAAGGCAGGCAGCAGCACCACGGAGTTAAATCCCCAGCCCTAAGACCAGCCTTCTTACACCTACTTCTAGCTCTCAACTACAGAGGTTTTCACATGCTCTAAGGATATAGTAAATAGCGCCCCTGTTCCCAAATAGCTCACTGTTTAGTCAGAAGGATAAACCAAAAAAAAAAAAAATCATAATATGAAGCATCGTGGAAAATACATTAAAATCACATGTATAATGTTATGAAGGGATAGAAGAATAGTAGTATGTGGTTGTAAGATTCTGCCCACAGCAAAACCACTTCACATCAAGGAAAACCTAGGAGATATTTCTGTAACCGTAGAGTAGGCAAAGATTTCTCAAATATAATATAAAAGGAGCAGTCACAAAGTTAAAAACTTGAATTATAAATTTAAAATTAAGAACTTCTGTAAATCACAACACACAATTAAGATGATGAAAAGGTAATCCACAGAATAATAGAGAATATTTACAGTTCATACATGCAATGAAGGTATGTATCTAGAACAAATCAAAAACTTGTACACATGAGTAATAAAGACAGATGAGCAACAGAAAAATAGGCTAAAGGGTTCAACAAACATCTTCACAGAGGAATCTCAAATGGCTCAAGAATATATGAAAAGCATCACATATGCTTTAATCACTGCAGAAGCACAAATTAAAACCACAGAAAGATATTGCCTACTTGCCAGAATTGCCCAGTGAAAAGGTATGTGTTGGTGCGGACATGGAGCCACCAGGATGCTTAGTTAGAATTGCTGGTGAGAGTTGAGATTGATGTAGCCCCCTGAACCTCCAGCTCAATGTAGTAAAACTGGCCAGATGCATGCTCTATGCCTTAGCAGTTCCTCTACTGGATATTTACCCCAAAATTCATAATTTGTGTTCATCAAAAGATAATTGCCAGTATGTTCAGGGCAGCATTATTAGTATTTGCTCTGAACTGGAAACTACCTAAGTGCTCATCCATAGAAGAAAGGATAAGTAAGTCCTGGTCTAATGTGAGGTAGCAGCGTGCAGAAGAGTCTGCAACTTTATCTGTAAAAATAGGAATGAATTTGTGTTGAGTGAAAGAAATAAGATGCAAGGAGTACATGATTCTGTTTATATAAAGTATGATGATGGGCAGAATAACGCATGCTACTGCAAGTGAGGACATTTGTACTGGCAGTGCTACAGCTGGGGTGAGCTTGAGGGAGGCTTTCAGGATTCTAGCGGTGACCTGTTCTTCACCTGAAGCCTGCCTATTTGTGTGTTATGAAATTGATTAATTGTATATACCTTCTTTGGAAAATGTCTTCTACTTTAGCAACTGCTTTTAAAAAATCTGGAGCCAGGGCTGGGGTAGAGTTCAGTGGTAGAGTGCTTGCCTGACATGCATGTGGCCATGGGTTCAGAATGGCCTCCTTGGCACTGGAGCTGGGCATGGTGTTGCACGCCCATCATCCCAGCCACTGGAGGGGCTGAGGTGCAAGCATCCCTTGACCTCGGGAGTTCAAGACCTGCTGGACAACACAGCAAGACCACATCTCGCATAAAAAAAAGAAAACAGGTCCTTATGTCTGGGTTAAAGATTGGAAGGGAGAGATAATAGGCTGGCAGTTATCATCTTTACTCATGGGACTGCGAATAAATATTGTCCTCTTCCCCTACTGTTTTGAGTATTTAAGGCTTTCTCCTGTCGGTTTATATGAGTTTTATAACATAGAAAAATAAATGACTTTAAATAAATGCACATACTGAGCGGATGTGTGTGTGCATGCGTGTGTGTGTAATATTACCAAGATATCAAACCCTGCAAAGGATGAGTGGATTGTACATTTTGGTAGCCAGATCTGATGAGGGAGAGGAGAGGAGACATCTTTAGGCCAGTTGTCTGTACAGAGCATATTCACTTTATTTGGTCTGCAGTTTACTTTTGTGTCAAATGGTCTTTCTTGTATTTATCTTTCACATTTTCTCTTCTTTATTAGTATGTTTGCAATTCACAGTAAATGTGCGTGTCGTGGGAATTGGTGCATGTACACATCACATCTCATCCTTCTCACTGCCCCTTCCCAGTGGTATTCTCATACCTGCCTGGCAGTGCTGTTGTCAAGGAGTTGGAAGTAGTATCTGCACCTCTGTGAGCAACGTCCTGGCCACGGTGGTGGCCTCCTCAGGAAGGAGGTGCCTCTGAACCCAGGAGCCAGGTCAATGACCTTTTCTCTTGCTCAGTAATTCATAGCTGATGAACCAGCTGTCCACCATGTTACCAGGGAGCAGAAGAACGCGCCCCTTGCCCTTTCCTCAAATGACAGAGAGATGAAGCAAAGAAACAAGTCCAGTACACCACCTGAAAGCAACTTTGTGTGTGTGCACGTGTGCGCACTCACACCCTTCCATTTCCATACACATACACACAAAGCACCCTGTAGGGCCCTGGCACGCCGTGAGTGTCCTGGAAGTGAGGGCTGCCATTACTGCCGCTGTCCCAGGGAGAATTCCTTATCCTGTCTAGGCCTTTCCATCTTGGCTTTTTGGAAAAGTGGGATAATGAGCTTCTGTCTTCCTCACCTCTCTACAGAGGACGATGCTTAAATTCCTGTACTGCTGAGGTCAGAGGAACTTAGCCCCTCTGTTCCTGGTGAATCTGCCACAGAAAGGGCTCCTTCCGCACTAGCTCTGTAGTTCACTGAGGATAAGCAGTGAGGATAAGTGTGTTGGTTTCCATTTCCCTCCCTCCCTTCGCCCTGTCTGTCTTTAAAATCCAGGTAGGATCTTCATGTGTGGCACTTCTCGGTTGGGGAAGGCCATGTTTCAGCACCCATGGCCCCATGTGGCACTGTCCGTAGCTCTGTGTGGAGCCCTCCCTGTGCTGGAAGAGCCCTCCGAGATGGGCCTGCAGGACGGCGGCAGCCTAGGTACGGCTGCAGGCCTCTTCTGTGTTCTGCACTCCAGAATGCACAGTGTCACTGATCCCAACTCCCTGCTTGCTCTCGGTAATCTCGTCAGGTCATTACTCATTACTTGTTTTAATACATCAAGTTCAGTCATAGGTCACAGAAAATGCTGTAGTTTTGTAAAGAGAGGGTTTACTTTTAATCAAGGGCTCAGAAAATCACCAAAAGGATGTAGGCTTCCGGAGTATTGGTAACAAGAACTTCTAAAAGTGCAGAGCAGGACTTCAGAATTTGATTCTGGGGCGCAGGCTGGATAGGAAGCTGGGAACGAGCTTGGCTGTGTTGCTTCACTGACTGTGCCAAGATGCATGCCAGCAGCGTAGATGTCCAACCTTCTGTTGTCACAACTGGAAAACACACACATCAGAAATGTGACTAATCGTCCTGACAGAAAAACCGGAAATGGCAGAATTATGGCCTCCACTATAGTTTCCCTCATAGATTTCATGCACTGTGTGCACAGAATCTGAAGGAAACCAGGTCATGTGTGGAACACCCACTGGAAGGGAGGAAATGTGTTCTTCAGCTTTGTACTTCGGGTGCTGGCAGGCACAGGTGGGTCAGGAAAGCTGCAGTACCAGGTTCTGCCTGAAGCCCAGGAGGGGCGCTGCCTGAATGGCATGTCAACCTCTGACATTTATTTTTTTACATGATTGCCCTTAATACAACAGTTTAACATGATTATTCCTTTATTAATATGCCATCCATTTTCTAGGTTGTTTTGTATTAAGTTCTTATATGTAATGTTACATTTATATGTCATATAGCAAGGTTAAAAACACAGAAACCTCATGCGTTTTTGTTTTTTTTTTTTTTTCATGTTGAAAGCAGTTTAGAATAAATACAGGTAGCCACAAGCAGCAGGGGTTGGGTTAATTGTGAGCACTGGTTAACAAAGCTGATATATGTTACCCTTTAGAAGTAAGACTGAAATAGAGATTTATGCAAGTGTCCTCGGATGAAAGATTCATTTTCTGTTGCTGTGAACTCTGCAGCTTTAAAACAATAGAGTTGATTATTTTACAAAAGTTTCCCACAGTCCAGAAGTCTGGTGGGCTTGGCGTGGTCTCTCTCAGAGTTTTCCTGCACTGGAGCTGAGATGCGCGAAGGCTGTGCTGGCTTCCGGGGGTGAGCTGGTTACTGTGCCGCTCACTCGCTTGTGTGTAGCCAGGGTTGAACGCCTTGTGCTTGTGGACTCACATCCACGTTACCGTGCTGGGGGTCACCTGAGGTCAAGCCAGGCCAAAAAAACAATGGTGTTTTAAATTTCCCTGTCTTCTTGTCTGTTGTCTGGTCATTTTGACAGTGTCCCTCTCTGCTCTTTACTTATTCCTGCACATTTTTTGTGCTTTCCTTTGTTCTTTGTCACCAAAGGCTGAGCTGGGTGTCCCAGGCAGCGGCTCAGCTGATCTATTGAGCTGGACCACTGCCACCACCATGAAAGTCCTTTCCAACACCACAACGACCACCAGGGCGGTGCTGCAGGCCGTGAGCGACGGACAGTGGTGGAAGAAGTCTCTGACTTACCTGCGCCCCCTCCAGGTAAGCTGAGCATCCCGCTTTTTAAAGATAGTCTCTGGGGAGACCTAGGCCTCCTGTGGAATCGGAAAGGAGCCATCTCTTTCCCAGAGTGAAACACACCCACAGAGCGATTGCAGAGGACACTGGCCCACGTTCCAGTGAGGTTTGCTTCAGAGGTAAGAGGCAAGATCTAGTGAGCTGAAAACGAATATGCTTACTTGCTTCTGCTGTATTTCTTCAGGCTCTCGGTTGGGGGAGAGTGAGGAGCCAGCTTGGGGCGGTGTATCAGATCCTGCTCCCACTGAGGAAGGGGTGATTAGGACCAGCACAGAGCAACTGAGTTTGCTCAGAGGGCCATCTGAACCCTTGGTTTCCCTGCTGTCTTCTCTGCACTCACACTGCATTCTCACGTTAGAAAACAAAAGAGGAAAACCATGTTCCTTTTTATGTACATTCATGGAGTTTCCCATGCATCCATCTGTTCTCTTGATGCTGCTGCTTCTCTGTGGGGTAGACACTGTTCTCTACACTGGAGTAGAATGGAGTGAGCACTTCTGTCCGATTCTCTTCCTGTGTGGAAACTTGCATTCCCCTGGTAGAGATAAAGCACAGCATCTGTACGGTGCTGCAGCCAGGGCTGTGAGGATGAGTGAGCCCCGAGTGATGCTGGAGAATGAGGATGAGTAACAGAGAAACTAGGCTCCTTGGAAAGGTGCCACTTTGGTCAGAAATGTGACTGAGTCAAATAGAAGAGTACAGAGCCCTCTAGGGCACGTGTTTAGCATTTTGTAGAACATAACGTAGTCAACCATGGTTTGAGTAGTGTGAGCAGCGTGAGGAGGATGGAGCGGAACGAGAGCAGAGAGATGCATGGAGCCCCTCCGCTGAAAGCACCATGAGGCCTCGGGAGTTCCTTTCCCGGGGACGTGGGGGCACACCGTGTGCTGGACTGGACTCGTCACGAGGTCACGTCACTGCTACGAGGGGAGCCCTGATGGGAGTGAGGGGAGGTGCAGCCTCATTCCCCAAGGGGCGGTGCTGTTGCCGTAGCCCAGAGTAGCTTTGACCAGTAAGTGGGGAGTGGCGGTCTGGGGCCCTGCTTTATGGCCCTCCTGGTGTTCTGCTCGTGGGACAGATGGAAGAGGAAGTTGGGGTGTTGTGGCCCCCACAGTTGGGTAAACGAAGATGCTGTCTCCTGAGCTGCTATTTGGGGTCTGCCGGTGTATCTCTTGTCATTTCATACTTTGTGCTGAATTATGATCATTTTCCTTTTCTCCCTGTTGAATGTTTTAAGGATTTCAGTCCTAGGTAAAATTTTAACTCTGTACCTAATTGTCTTCATTACTTTCTCATTGCTGGGACAAATACCCCATACCTGCAAGTTAAAGGACAACAGTTTTAGTTGGGCTAAAGTTTAGCAGTTTGTAGAGGTTCTGTCCATGGTCCGGGTGTCAGATGGGCATTGCAGGGAAGAGACAGTTCAGGAAATGGCGGGCGGAAGCAGAAGTCAAGGGGAGGGGGAGGTTATACACACATACACACATATGTACATACATGTACACGTACTGCGTGTATGTGTCTGTCTTCAGGCCACGCCCATGGTGCCTCCCATCACACCCAGCCATAAACCCATCAGTCGGCTAATCCAGCGTCACACACCGCGATCCAGTCTCCTGCCCAAAGCCCACCTATGAGCACAGGAAGTTCTGGGGGGACAGCTGGGTTTGAGCCCTAACACTAAGCCACAGCTTTCATTAAACATCAGCTGTCATTGTTAGCAGCAGCAGCAGCTTCGCTGTTTCCCTAGATTGTGCTTGGCAGGGGTAATCGTGCAGTCACCTGGAGGAATGTCTCCTCTTACTTGGTTCTTCCAGTGGGGAACCTTAGTGTCTGTCTGAGGAGAGCAGAAGGACGGTAATTAACTCTCCTAGGGAGACTACGGGGGTCGCTCAGCTCCCCGGGGCTGCTGAGAACAAATCTTCAGCGTGTGTGTGTGTGTGTGTGTGTGGCGAGGGTAGCTGTGAAGGAATCTGGTGAGGAAAGAAGCAGCGATGCTGCCCTCCGCTGCGGTCAGCCCAGGCTTGAGCAGCGGGTCCGCGCTGGGCTGGGAAGGTCGGGTCTCCCCAGACATGAGGCAGGTTGGTGTGGGTGGAGTGGAGAGGTGGTTTGCGATGCTGATGAACGTTTCAAAGCCTTAAGTGGAGCAGCCACATGCACAAAATGAGTTTGGGATAGTCATCCTGGCTGTGCCGAGGAAGACTAGCTTTGTGTGTACACTGACTGAGGTCAGAGTGTGCAGAATGCCAGAGGTGCTGGCGCCAGGGACACAGCGCTTCTCTCCGGACTCGGGTGTCGTGCTTCCGTCCTGTGCTGGGTGTCTGTGTCCCCACACCCTCTCCAGTCTCAGAAGCACATCAGGTTTCTTCTGAAATCAGCCTTCTTTCCCTGCCTTCTCTTCCTTTTTATCCACTGTTCTTCACTCTGTTTTGTATAGGGGCAAGAATTTGGGGGCTGTTATCGAGCTGGAGCCAGAGCCAATGAAGACTTAGAAAAACAAGGGTGTCATCCTTTTTATGAATCAGTCATCTCTAATCCCTTTGTCACTGAGGTAAGGACAGCAAGCCTCAAAGACAGACTTAACTGTCGTGCCGTTGTGAGCGGTGTAAGCAAAGACTCAAATTTCCCTGCATGTGTACCTCTTAGGCTTAGTTCTTGCTTATGGTATTCATCAGTTTTATGTGTATAGTTTCACACACATGATAATGTGTTATGAGATGAAAATTCTTCAAAACGCTACCTACATAAAGTGTTACACATTTGTGAGGAGTTACTAGTTAAGTCACCAGAAGCTGTAGCATCTTACAGTTGTGTTTTCTAAGAACACATTCTTTAAAAAGACATCCAGTTAAAAGGTGGAACTTGCTCTTCTCCAGTCTGGTGTGACCTATGACACCTATCATCGTGTCCCCGTGGAAAGCTTTGCAGAGGTGCTGCTGAGGACTGGGAAACTGGCTGAGGCTGAGACGGAAGGGAAAGACAAAGACGCGTTTCCAACCACGGAAGGTGAGAAAGGCGGCCCCGACTTCTGACAGTGTACCATGTACCGGGATGAATACAGTGAGAATGAATGAGCTGGAAATGCAGTAATGAAGTTTGCAGTAATTTCCAGCTGCCTGACTTGACATTCCATTCATTCCTCTGTTCATTTAAAGTGTTTATTGAGAACCTGTTGTTTTCCGGATGCCTACATTGAAGATTTAAAAGGATACATAAGATATAATTGTTAGCTTTGAATTGCTAATTGTGTAAAGTGATTCCCCTAGAAAATTGTATAAAGTGGTTCAATACCTATTTTTCTTTTCTACTTTTATGATTAATCAATTACAGATCTGCATTTGATTTTAAGAATTTTCTTTTTTGTTGTTGTTGCTATTAGGTTTTTTTGAGACAAGGTCTCCCTCTGTAATTCTGGCTGGCCTTGAACTCAGTATGTAGCCCAGGCTGATCTCAAACTCAGTGTAATCCTTCTGTCTCGGCCTCCCAAGTGCTGGGATTACAGATGTGCGCCACCACACCAGGCTGATTTAAGAATTTTTCTATGTGGTGGCATAGCTTTAAATATAGTTATTGGAAAAGAAAGGAAACGTGTACAAGTTTACCCAAGACAGCTTGCTATTTGTGCTTTGTTCCTCCTTAGCATCTTTATTTCTCTTCAGGATCCCAAGGTAGATTCCTTGACTTTAGCTCTCTCTACCCCTCTCCTCCTAGTGAGAACCTCATGATTGAACGGCTGCTGTATCCCCGGCCGGCCGTGGGGAGTGGGTGGTTTTCTCACAAGTCCTGTCTGTAACTCCCCTTCGCATATTCCTGTGCCTGCTCACTGCTGGCCAACTGGGACAGGACTGTCCAGGCTACCTGAGCAACTGCTGCGTGAGGCAATGGCAGAAAAATATATGTGGTCAACAGAACTGCCATTTCCCCCCAGAATTAATGCTGTAACTTTTTTTGGATAATTTTTTTCTTTAATCACTGTTTATATACAGGAAGAGGGGAGATAAATATTACTTCCCCATTCACTATGTGGAGATTTTTTTTTTAATCAACTATTTTTCTTTGTTTCAAAGGTACATGTTTTCCTACTTATTAATCTTTACTCTCACAGTTTTGGGGATGTTTATTATTTCTCCTAAAGGCTGTTATTTAAGTCATGGTTGGTTTTACAGTTGATATTGACTCTATATGAAGATTGTAGTAACATTACTCTTGCTCCACTTAATTATTCTTCATTGCTTCTTGCTTTTCTTTTCATCACCCTACACCATGTGTTAACCGGTGAGCAGATGTGTCTGCACAGAGAGAACACGAGGCTGTCAGGCAGGGCAGCGCTGGGTGTGCGTGTGTCACTGTGGGTCACTGTCCTCAAGGGCTGCACAGTAACCAGGATGTTTGCACACATCAGCTCACCACTTGGTTTTTATTTCTTATTTAGCGTGCTAGTTACATGTATGTGAATTTGAGAATCTCACAAAAGGTAAATCAAAAAACAAAGAAATGGAACCAGATGACAAAGGGTCTGAAAGTTGAGGGCTTTCTTCCACTGATTGCTGTGTATTAAAGTGTCAGAGATGTTTTGCCAGAGATGTTTTGAGAGCTGTTTAGAGCCCGTAAGCAGAAGGTTTGGCCTTGCACAGGGCTTCTGCCAGGACAGAGGTGCAGTTGGGGAGGGACTGGGCTGGCTGTCAGCACAGCAAGATTGTGCTCCCAGGTGAGTGTCTGGCTTGTTCTGGGAAGTAGCTAGTACTGGAGGGTGGCCAGACCCAGGGTGTCAAAGTGTGATAAATGCAGGAATTAAAGGGGAGCCATGCGGCAGTGTGTCTGTTACTGATTTGTGTCAGAGTGACAGCTGTTGCTGCCTTGATAATTCTGAGGACAAGTTTCCTCATAACTCGGAGCTTGCAGAAGTCATTGGTGTGTTTCCTCCTTTCTCCTTGGGCTTGGTCTGAGCTTTGTATTTAATAATAATAATACACACACACACACACACACACAAAAGTGTTAGTGACCGTTCTGTGAATAGTGTCTGTGCTGTGGTGTGACTGTTGTAAAAATGTCTGTTGTAACTTGGTAGCAGATGAAGACCTTCCCAGGGGAGATGTCCCTGGGCTGGTATCTCCTCATTCTGGTTTTGTTTTCTGTAGCATTGTTTCTGTGTGGCATTTGTTTCAAGTCTGTAGCATATTTTTCAGAATATCTTTGGTAGTAGTATATTTTTATCCTTGAGGTTGCCTTATTTTTTGGAAACAGCCTGATGCTGCACAATAAATAAGCAGAAGATTGAGTTGATGTTACGATAAGAAAGATGGGACCAGAAGATTGTCAGTGATGGGGCTTCCTTTCCCAGGTGGGCCCCAGGTCGGCTCTGTCCATAACTGCACAGAGGAGAGTCCTGCAGTAGCTACAGAACTCAGGGCTCCCAAGGGACTCCTTTCAGGAGAGGGCGACACTTCTGATGAGTGGCTTCAGATATGCTTGTTTGAAAATTGGCCACTTTTGTGCATAATGAAGGGAAATATCTGAAGAAAATTGAGACGGATGTGAAAAGCAACTAGGTGAGGTTGCAGGTGAAGGTCATATTATTAAAACTAAGAAAGAAATTGGATGGAGGAATTATCAGTATGTGAAACAGCTGGATTTTCCTCTCACAGTGGGGACTGGAAGGACTGACAGACACAAGTTTGATGAAGGGATGGCAGGTGTGGGGCGTGTGTGAGGTGTTTGTATGGTTTGTAATTCTACAGGTTACTCCTGTTTTTTTGGTACTAGGGATCGAACTTTGGTCCCTGTGCTTACAAGGCAGGCCGTGGAACCGCTGAGCTAAATCCCTGGCCCCTCTACAGTTTGTTGTTATCCAAGCAGTCCAGGACCTCTAGCAGACTAAATTTACATTGTTTTTCTTGCTGTTTACTGTTATTCAAAATCACAGCCTAACCCGTCCATCCTTGAGTTTTCAATACCCTTCAATGGTGTATTCACCAATCTTATACTACTTTGTTCCCGTAATTGCTTGTACAAAATTTGTGTTGGGGCCTTTGCACTGTATTTTCAAATGATCTGTTTGGAGATTTTTCTCTCATCCTAACCCATTCATTCCTGAAGGGCAGGGACTAATTCTTATCTTATGGTAATATCTAGTTCAGAGGTTTTCACAGATCTTGAGTGAAGTAGGAAATAAATGGTCTTAGAAATGAATGGGTTTGATTGGAAAATTGTCTCTCAGACTACAGTTTCTTGGGAGACCTGATCAGTTTTCCATTTGGAGAACACACACAAGAAGTGGACATGTAGAGAAGCACAGCGGAGAATGCTCGTGTTTGTCCTGTGAATCATCCACAGAGAACTTTGAATTCTAGACCACCTTCTGGCACCTCACCCATACACAGCTTGCTTCTTGTGTCCCATTGTGTCTTAGTTACTTTTTTCTTGTTGCTGAGACAAAATACCAACACCCAAAGTTAAAGGAGGAGAGGTTTATTTAGCTCGCATTTTGTAGAGGTTTCAGTCTATAATTGACTGGCTCCTGGCAGACAAGCATTTTGCAGAGGGAAAACAGTTCACAGTGGGCAGAAGGTAGCAAAGCAATGAGGGATGACCACAGCTCTTTCTGTCCCTTTTATCTTATCCAGGCCACTTAGGGCGGGCAGCACTCACACCCTTAAACCTAGTGCTCTTGATTCTAGCATTGCACCCTGAATCAATCCCAGCATCACACATTGCAGATCCAGCCACCTCTGAAAAAGCCCCACCTATGACTGCAGTGGCTTCAGAGGCACATCTAGCATGAGCCATAACATACCATCCCCACCAGTGGTGGCGAACCTATGGCACGTGTGCCATGACGGGCTGTTTGTACCATTGAACACAAAGGGTTCTCCATCACTGGCATAGATTATTGGCTATGCTAGGATTATGCAAATGGCTTAATTACTCTTCCAACTAAGGAAAGCTGGGAAAAATCGTGTGTATTTTTGAGGTCAAATATCATTTATTTTGGATGATTTATGTACCACGCTCCTTCAGTACAGATCACGGGAGTCTCTGTTTTAAAAGTAAAAGGATTTGCATTGTGATTACACATGTGTCCCTGGCATTTTTCACTAAGGCCCTAAGTGAACAGAATGCTTGCTTATTAAACTGTATATAAACATGGACTTTCTTGGCAATGTGCTGTCCTTTATTACAATCGTGACATTGGTAACTTTTCATTCATAAAAATTTTGTTCAAAAATTAAGGGTTGTGATAGTTTAAGAAATGAGCAGGACAAAATACTGATTTGCTTTTGTTGGGGTGTGATGAAGAGGGTTGTTCTTGGAGAACAGAATTGTGTAATCGGTGTACCAAGAGATTCGTCCTGGATTTGTGTGTGGGGCTGTGTTATGACTCTCATTTCAGGACTCTAGTATTTGTGTGAACGGCCACCTTATGCGTGGGGGCTGTCAGAACATGCAGAATTTTACCATGTGGCCTGAGCCCTGATCTCTGAAAGGCCCAGCTCCTGGCACTGGAGGTGACACCTTTCCCTGAGCCACAGCCGCCCTGGCAGGTTTGCCCCTGCAAAAGCATTGCAGGCACACTGCACCCCTGCTTGGGCAGGGCTGTTTTCAAATGCAAGTTATGTGCTCTGTGCCAAGATGGTGCCAAGTAGATTTCCATGTAAGGTCTGGAAAGAGTCCTCCAGAGATGATTATCTGTTGAAATCACGTAGAGCTGAAAACATGATGGTCGATATGAATGTCCTGTGGTGCTCAGAGTAACGCTTGTCCCCCGCATTTAGTTCTCTTACAGCTAGCGAGCGATGCTTTGCCCAGTGACATGACCTTGGCCCTCGCCTACCTCCTCGCCTTGCCACAGGTAAGTTGGTTCTTGTGAATGAGGATCTTTAGATAAACCAGGGGATCTGTGCTGGGGACTTTTCTCAGTAGAATTGTGTATCGGGGTGTCATCTCCTTGTGAGAATTCACAGAAGCTGAAAGGACCTCTCAGCATCCGCAGCGGGGACCGAGCATTAGCACAAATGCCTGTCTTTCAGTCCGCATTTTCCTCAGAGCACCTGTGTGATGGTGACTTCTGCATTCTCATGTCTTCAGCTAAGCGGAGCTTGAGCTCGGGCTGACGTGGTGGAGACTTGTGTCTCAATGCTGGGGTGACCACAAGGAATGGGATGGCTTATGGTGCTCTTGCTCGTCTCTTTCACCTGCATTACTGACATCCTGCTCCTTCCTAGGTGTTAGACGCAAACAGGTGCTTTGAGAAGCAGTTGCACTCGGCGTTGTCTCTGCAGCTGGCAGCGTATTACTACAGCCTGCAGATCTATGCCCGCCTGGCACCGTGCTCTGGGGACAGCTGCCACCCCGTATACAGAGTGAGTCCCATCGTGCTGCCTTATTCAGGAGTGGAGTCTGGGATTTTCTGTGTCCTGTCCGTAACCAGAACGCATCTCATATGGCACAAGTGCCGTTGCTTTTCTGCCTGTCAGTAGAGTTTGTCACATTTCCAGTGACTGTGACTGTTCCCCCAGCTTTTCTTTTACTTTCTTTTACTATGTTCTTAGTTAGGCAAGGCTAACGCAGTAGGGAAGGCTAAATGGGGGATTGTAGTTTTAATTTGGTACCCAATAACAGGATGGTTGTCCTAATTCAGGAGAGGAGGCAGTGTGATTCTTTGAGAATTCTGCATTTTATTTTTAAGCCAGAGATATAAAAGTAAGTTAGAGATGGAATGTTGGAACATGGTATTCCTACTGCCACAAGATTCCCATAGCTTGCTTTGTGTATCTTTATTGTTGACTTTTGAGTGAAAACACTTCAGCATGGCCTCTAGATACATGAGAGTGTTTTGGGGTCCCACTGTGGCAGGCTGAGTGGTGGCAGGAAGCGTGGGACGCACCAAGACCTGCACCAGAAAATGTCAGGTATACTGAGGCGGTGTGGCAAACTGAAGGAGAAACCACCAGATCCAGGTCCAGTACTGGGCACTTAAAAAGGGAAGCTGGACCACTCCCGGGCCTGGGCACCCCTCACACCCAATTGTGAACACAGTGTGTAAAAAACTTTCCCCCATACACCTGTCATCCCAACACTGTCGGAGGCTGAGGCAGGAGGATCGCAAATTCAAGCCAACCTGGACAACTTAATGATTAATGAGACCCTGTCTCAAAATAGAAAAGAAAAAAGAGCTGGGAATGCGGTTCAGTGGTAAGGGGATGAGTTTACCCCAGAACTACAAACAACAAAAGAGACATCTCTTCCCTTTTAGGAATTGCATTCTTTTGGGGAAAGAGGCATCATAAATGAAATAAGTAAATAAAATATATACTCAAAAGCAAGAAAAGTAATAGTAGAGTGGAGAGACGGAGGGAGAGGGAGAGGCGCATGCAGAGGGAAGTATGGAAGGACCGTTTAAACAGGGTCGGGAAGGTGCTGTGGAGATAGTGACCTTCCCGTAAAGCCAAAGCTCAGGAGCACTGCACACAGGAAGTAGACCAGAGGCACAGAAGCGTCACTGCTGTGTCATTTGCACTGCGGCATTTTCCCCTACGCTGTCACATTCAAGGGTAGAAAAGGACGGTGCAGTCTGTGACCACAGAGTGCCATCCAGTCACAGCGCCCACCAGTGCCTGTCCCTCCTGGCACCTGGTCACGTGGCCCCTCCAGCCTGTGGCACCTGTTAGGCCAGCGGGTAATTCCCAGAGGGAAGTGTCCTGTGCCGCTGTGTCTCCAGGTGGAATCTGAAGCCCTGCATGTGACAGATCAGACCTCAGCCAGCTGGTGGGATCCTCCTTCTACCCATGTGTGCTTCCTGCCTCAGCCTCTGGAAGTTGACATTCTCTAATGAACTCAGGGTGCTTGCTCTAAAGCCGGGTGTAGTGGTGCATGCCTGTAATCCCAGCACTGGGGAGGCTGAGGCAGGAGGATCGCTATGAGTTCGAGACCATTCTGGGCTATATAGTGAGTTCCAGATCAGTATCAACTACATAGTGAGACCCTGTCTCACAAAACCAAAAAAAACAAACAAACAAAAAAAAGAGAACCCAGGGTCCTCTGAATTTCAGACCCTTTTGTGCACCTCTGTGTGTGTATGTAATTCCAGTGGCTGCTTTTCCTCCTGATCCGGTCTGGAGGGGCTGTGTCCCCAGGGCCTTCTCCTTGCCCCTCTCTCCTCTCTGCCCACCCCAGCCAGCAGTCTCAGTCTTGTTTGACCCCGTCAGAGAGCAGGAACCCCTTGCCCCGGGTCCCCCCAGGACCATCCCTATCCACAGCCAGAGGTGCCGGGTCCAGTGCTATGTCTGCTGCTACGCTGTGAGCCTGGTGCTTCAGGGCCACGTGGAGTCCTGAGGCCCGTGGGTGTGGAGGAAGCCCGGGCTGCCCGACGGCTCCTCATCGGAGTCTGCAGTGTCTTCCTCTGCGCAGAAGGCACCACTGAGGTGGGATTAGTGGGTCACCGCAGAAGTCGACATAAACTGACTTCAGGTTGTTGCCTCCACATAACAACCCGCAGTTGGGCCGAGCTTTCTCTGGCCTGTCCTTTCCCTGGTTTTTAATCTCGCAGCCTCCCCTTGCCATCTCCACTGTGCAGTTCTGTATTCTGTAGCCCCTCACTCTGGAGGAGCTGTGTGTGTGACCGTGTGTGACCCTGTGTGTGACTGTGCATAACCATACATGTGAGTGTGTGTGTGACCCTGTGTGTCACCGCGTGTGTGTGACGTGTGTGATCGAGCAGCAGAAGGCCCTGAGCTCAGCGGGTCCCGGGGTCCCAGCAGCATCCCTGTGCCTGCTCTGCTGTGTCACTTACTTCAGTGGTGACCGGCAGACGTCGGCCAGGAGATGGTGCGCTCTTCTAATGTCTGTACTGATTCACTCATTTCTGTGTTTCAGACACGATACACACATGACCAGAAAACTCCGGCTGGGCAAAGGGTGTATAATAACAAGTCAGTGTTGTCTCTGTACCCTTCCAGAAATGGTGTGGATCTGCGCACTTAGTCACCTGGGCTTTCCCACTTAAATCTCACCTTTGTCACTATGGTAAACTATGTCCTGAAGTGTCATCTCTGTAGCGTTCTTTTAAAAAAGCGTTCAGAAAATGAAATGAGTTAAAAATGGGAACATGTCCTTTAGTTTTGTAGTCTAGGGAGTCAAACGCAGCAGGGGTGAAATTCAAAACTTTACGGTAGACTGTTTCCAAAATGTGTTTTTATAAGCTACTAATTGAAAATACTAAATAGAAAATTATCTCAAGCAAAATAACAACCCTAGAGGGGAAACAAACCACCTGTTTAAAACTTCCCAGACAATATTACCCAGAAATGGAGACTGTTAAACCAGAATGGATTTATCACCCCTACTAGTGAGCGGTAGATCCAGTCAGCGAGCTTTCCCTTGTCATGAATATTTATGCATGTTTTGTTTTTACAGTGATTTGGCCATATTCGTTAGAGAAATTGTATTTTATTTACTCCCCTGAATAACTGAAGTTCCATGTTTGGAGAGGAAAATAGAATGATTCAATTCTTCCCACTTTTCCCTTTCACGTTCTTGGTGCTTCTTTATGCTGATTTTTTTTATGGCCTACAGTATTTTACAATATTGCTCTGATACTGAACATGGACGATTTTGATGCTTGCCCGTAAAGGCCTTCACAGTTTTCTCTTAGGGGCTAAAAGCTTTCCTGCTTACGATCATGCCACCACACTTGTAGAGGGAGAAGTTTGAATGTACTCTGGACACCCAGGAGCCCAGACTGTCAGGTCCCCTGCTGAGTGGGCGGGGACAGTGGCAGAGGCTGTGGGACTGCGCGTGCCTAAAGCCTCCGGATGGCTGGGGGGGTGTGGAAAAGGGGAGCGGCTGTAGTGTCCTCCACGCTGCTGGGCTGCAGCAAGGTCAGGTGAAAGACATGTGCAAACGCTTAGAAACCCGAGGGTGCTGTGCCCTCTTTGGGGTGCAGCAGAGATGTAGGAAATGAGGTGCTGGAGTGAACAGCAGGGGTAGTATTTTGAGTAAAGCAGTGATCAGCTCTGGAAGTTGGTTCATTGGATACTGGGAGTAGTCATTTTTTTTTTTTTTTTTTTTTTTTTTTTTTTTTATTTTTTTTTTTTTTTTTTTTTTGTCTCGTGAGAGAGGGTCTCCCTATGTAGCTCAGGCTGGCCTTGAATCTCAAGGTGATCCTCCTGCCTCAGCCTCCAGAGTTCCAGGCTTATAGGTATGCACCAGTTATAACTGGCACCAGTTACATTTTCTGAGGAAGAGATAGCAAGAGGAGTGGCAATAAGAAAATAAATTACTTAGCTAAAATTTGCAACATGCTTATCCAGTTTTGTTCAATTTTCAGGAAGACTTTGTAGAATTTTCCCCACTTTCAGAAATGGGAAACTTGATGCTCAGGAGGGAAATACCAGTAATCCAGGCTTCGAAACAAAGCCAGTTCCTTTGTTTCCCTATAACTAGTTTTACTTAGGAACTTCAGTGACAGGCCGTCTCTTCCCATTGGTGGTGTGCTTACACAAGAAGCTAAAGTACTGAAAATCTTCCTGTGCACTTATGGACTATGTTGTAATGTTTCTGACACTTTGCCTCTGTCATCAGGGAATTAGCAGATGCCCCTGTTCACCATTTTATTAAGATAAAATTTCATCTAAAAATTTGTATTAGTCCACGTTTGTGGCACATAATGACTGCATTCATCACGGGGAGTTGGTACATAGCACATCTTAATTCTTTTTACTTCCTTTTCCCTTCTTCCATCTTTTGATCCCTTCCCATTTGCAAAAAACATGTCTCCCTGTTTGTTTTGTTTTGTTTGTTTGTTTGTTTGTTTGAGAGAGGATCTCACTGTGTAGCTCGGGCTGGCCTCAAACTCAAGGCGATCCTCCTGTCTCAGCCGCCCACGTGCTGAGATTGCAGGTGTGCGCCACCACTCCTAGCCTCCCTGTTTCCTATTGTGAGACAGAATTTGAAAAGGAGGTGCACTTACTTGAGAAGTTGAGCAGGGAATGCTATCCTTGGTCATGACCCTAAAACGCTGTTACAGAGAAAAGGCTCAGAAAGAGAGCTCAAATCATCTCTCCTGTTAAGCACTTTGGGTGTTTGTATTCACGCACATGCATGTGTGAAAAATACCTACTTGGAGTATTGCAGAATGACATATTAAAATCTATCATTGTGAATCTATTGTTTCTAAGAGGGCTGTAACCGTACACTTAATGCGAAGTGTGTGTACCGGGTCCAGTCGAGCTGTATAGAAACCGTCTCTGTGCGCTATGTGGGGAAGGGCGCGAGCATAATGAAGTGTGCTCCTGGGGTCCCTCCCTGCTTCACCCCTCAGCCGTGTACTGGCCTCCCGTGGTCCCTCTGCACATCAGGGACACTAAGAGACACCTGTCCTACAGGTTCCCGGGTGCCCATCCTCAGCGCTGGGCACGTTACTCCTGAAGGCTGAAATACCGGATGTTTGCCCCCGAGTATTCCTTTGGAAAAATGACTAAGTTTGGCATGCCAAGAATATGAAATAAAGAGTACCCAGACAGTCCCGCTTAGTGACGGAGATTAAAGTTGTTTAATCTGTGGGAGTACATTGCTAGAATTTGTCGGTCTGAAAAAGTGTGTTTTTAACAAAGAAATCTGCTGTGAATATTTAGTGGAGGCAATGTGAGAAAGATGCAGAGCTTCATCCTTTCTGAAGCTGGAGAGATCTACAATTGACTTTATATAGTGATCGGATCCTTGTACACTCACAGGGTTTTAGTCTTAGACATACGATTGAGTGTCAAAGCTCCTTCCTCCATTCAAGGACACCAAGCAGCAGAAGAGCCAGGAGAGGGGTTGGCCGCTTTCCCCCTAGAGGCCCCAGCTGAGGGGCTGTGGCCTTGTCCTTGTGTACAGTGGGCACCTGCACACCCTGCCAGTTGCTGCTTCTGGATCTTTTGACAAGCTCTGGGTCCCCTTTGTTCTGTTAGAGTAACCAACAGTGGTGCTTTAAAGTCCTGCACTTACTTGTGACCCCCAGCAATCGGTGTACTCATTGAGCTTGTTTTTTTATGGGTGTGGAAATAGCTAAGTAGCCGCTCCAAATCACTCTCCGCTAAGTGGGGAGCTGGGCTGCAGACTTGAGCTGTTGAGTTAAATGCTGGCTCCCCGTGCCCCTTTCCGTGTATCTGCCAGGTATGAAGATCTACTGTCTCCTGGGAAAGGTCTCCGTGCCCCAGAAGCTATAATTTAATATTAAGAGAAGGAAATCACACAAATAGATGTGCAGTTAAAGTGTGTGCTTTTAAAGAAAAAAAAATGCCTTTTACCAAGTTCCACGCTTGCCATTTGGAATGCCTGCCCGCCTGGGTTTTATATCCACCACTTCCTAAAAGCTGTTTGTCACTGCTGCTGGGTTACAGATGCCATGGTGAAGTTCATAGTCACTAAGTCTCACCTACAAGCTCTGCCAGCTGCTAAGCTGGTCATGTCTCTGCCTATTTCAAATGCTACTTTTTCACCGGCAGAGGAGACAGTGCATTCTTTCTGCCACATGTGGATATGAAAGTTGCTATGTGGCCACTGGAAACTGCGCAGGGTGCCTGAAGGCCTCTGTGGGTCTCAGCAGCGGCAGGTGCACACATCATCCTTCTGTGCTGCCAGTCGGTAGTGCTGCTGCCCACTTGGGCTTGGCGTTGGCATCACAGGTGACATTAGACTGCAGAGAGTATGTCTGTGCGGTGTTGTGCTGCTGAGGCTGTTGACAAGCGGTAGACACGGTGCACACCAGCCTGCAGAGCTGGTGTAGACAGGCTGGCTGGCCCGCAAGCTCCATCCCTGTACTAAGGACCTGCAGAAGTCACTGTGCCCCATAGTGGGAGGTTCAGTGTGGTCCCCTGAGGGACTCACTTGGTAGAAGGAGACTGAGTGAAAAGTCAGCTATAGCCATGCTAAGAACTGAGGCACAGGATCCCTTTTATTGAAATCCATTGCCACAAGTACTGTCTATGCAGCTGGGTTCCCAAGGACTCCTAGTTACCGTTAGATTCAGATTGTCCACTCCATCTTTCCATCTGGCTCTGGCCATGTCGGCCTTCACACATACCCTATCCTTTACTGGAAGTTGTCTTCCTGTTGCTTGGTGGCTGTGTTAGTCACTTTCCCTTCACTGGGTCAGAATTTCCTGACTCCTGCCACTCAAAGGAGGAGAGATTGATTTGCCTCATGGTTTCGGTGGGTTCAGTCCATGGCTGGCTAGCTCCATGGCTGAAGTGGCATGATACAAAAAGCTGCTTGACCCATGCAGCCAGAAAGCAAAAAGAGAAGGGAGGAGCTGGAGAAAGAACACATCCTTTCAGGCCACACCGCAGTGACTCACCCATGAAGAATCCAGTGATGAACATGGCACCTCATGATCCACTCACCTTCTAAATGCCCACCTCTGAACTCTGGAGACTTCGGGGGGGGGACATTTTAGAGCTAAACCATGACACCAGCCTTTCTGCTACTGGTACCTGAGAACGCAGCTAAGACATGAACTCTTCCGAGGAGACTTCTTGACGCTTGCCCAAGCCCTTGTCCTCACCCTCATATTCCCATAGTACTCTGTGCTCACTGTGTCACACCACTTACAGTTGTTTGCTTAATGTCTCTCTGAATAGACTACATTTCTGGAGGAAAGGGGCAGGGCATGTCCTCATAGTACCTCCCCCTTGGTACATAGCATATGCACAAAAATTCTTTTTCTAAACGAATTAAAGCTGCTTTTCTGGGTTATTGTGGTATTCAGATACAGGTATTTTGACTTAGTACACTTTTCTGTGATTTTTAGGAATAGGACTCAATGTATGCATAGAGGTAGAGAAAAATTAAATATAGTAAGACTGACTTTTACTCAGGTCCAGCTGCTGGAATCCAGGATTTCTTTAATTGCTTTTTATTCATGTTCCTGGACTGTTCCTTAATAGGATCAAGAGAGAGACAGGCAGTTTAAGTTTGGCAGTGCAGACTCAACACTGACAAATCTCCTGTGTGGCTCAGAATTATGGCTTCTACCCACTGGAAATGCTGACAGCTTGCTATAATTAGGAGTGTGTTTCTGAGAACCAGGGTAGATTCTGGGGTGTTCCCCTAGTTTTCTCTTCTTAAAAACCTGTCTCGTATCATCCCAGAAATGAGGAGTGCAGGTATTAATGCTGTCTGTACTATGCTGCCTGTTAAGTAATTCCAGAATCTGCTTTGTTGTCACCCAGATCAACGTTAATAAAAATAAATGTGGCCAGTTAATTATTCAAAGTCCTTCCCCATCAGCTGTGGGGTTCTGGGTGTTGTTCTACTCGAATAATTTTACTGCTTTTGGGAAGCTGCTAAGAATCATGGAATAATATCTTGCTGAGCTCCAAATCAAGCAGAGTAGGAATCAGTTGGATGCTTTCTTGTATAACCTGAGATCTTCCCAACTTTGGGAGCTGAGGTGGGCTTTGTTTTGTTTTTCTGACTTCTCCCTGGAGAAAGCCCCTTCTTCTTCTTATGGTGATGCCACGGAACTGCAAATTTTGTATTGGGAGCACTTCATGTTGGTCCCAAAAAAGGTACCCAGAGGCAAAGGTGATGACATTTCTGCTGAGGAAGTTGTTATAAATGACCAAGTAGTGAAGGCGAGAGTGTGATGTAGGTTTATGGGAACCGAAAAAGCAAGAGGTCTTGCTTTTGAGGTAAGGGAGGTTTTCAAGGCTGAGCAACAGAGCAGAGGTCTGGATGTCTGTGGGTGGCTCTGATCCGTGTCCTGACTCTGGTCTGCAGTGCCACCTGTGCAGCTGAATCTGGGCCTTGGTTAGTGGCCTCAGAGTGAAGGACCAGCCTGGCAGGCACAGCCTGCTCTCTGTCCCTCTTTGGTTCATTGTGTGTAGTGTATGTCAAATGCATCTTTCATTCCTTTCACAGGCCCATCCCAAAGAGCTGATCAGGATGGTCACCAGCTATGTGACTCGCCGAGGACACGAAGCCTGGCCTGAGGAACTGGCCTCGCTCACTGCGCAGTTGCACTACTACAACGAGAGGCTGCTGGACTTCACGCAGGCACAGCTCCTGCAGGGCCTCGGGAAGGGCGTGGATGTGCAGCGGTTCACCGCTGACGATCAGTACAAGAGGGAGACCATCCTCGGGCTGGTGGAGTAAGTGTCCTTTTGTCCAACATGCAGAACCAGCTGAGCTCTCAGAGTACTAATCACAGTCCTTCAAGTGCTGGCACTTGCCGTAGCTGTCCACAGAGCTTGCCACCCTCTTCTTGTTCGTAGGAGAGAGGTGCCTGTCTTCCCAAACAGAGCAGTAGATGCACGTAAGCCTACAGACATAAATAGTAAGCACCGGGACTATTTATTTTTAAAGTTCTCCAATCCTTTGATGTCCCAGTGCCAAGATTCTGGCCAAGTTAGAGGACATAGGAGGTGCTCAGGGGAAAGGTAGAATGCTTATTTGTGGACTTGTACAAGCCTGATTGCGTTTTGTTCCTGGCTAGAAATCTTACTCTCCAAAGCACATGGCAATTAGCCACAGTGGCACATGCCTATAATCTCAGCATGTAGGGAGGCTAAGACAGGAGGATTGGGAGTTGGAGTCCTGCCTAAGCAACTGTGAAAAAGATACCTGGCATTTTAATGTGTTCATTATATATAGATTATATCATGGACACAGTGCCGGAGGATGACCTGGTGTGGTCTTTCCAGGTGCCTTTACTGTCCCAGGCTTCTAGAGGAAGAGAGGCCAGCCAGCCCTCGTCACTTCTGTCGGAGGGCAGGAGCAGCTGCCACCTCCCCTTGTAGGCTCTGTCCCTCTCAAGGGGTGCGCCAGCCCCATGGGATGCCAGTGCAGCTGAAAGAGCTGCTTTCGGGTCAGGAGCTCCCTTGGCTTCCACAGCATGGCTCTGTCACTGTCTTGCTGGTTCAGATCAGATGAGGAGCCACCTGTTAGAGGGGTGTGTGCTCGGCCACAGCGGGAGTGAGTAGGGATGTTTTTGTTTTCCCAGCACAAGTTTTGAGTGCTCACAGGGCAGTACCCTGGATGAGGTTCACTGTGAACTGCATTTACAGATGTCACTTATCCTCATAGATGACCTATAAGGGGAAGTATTTTCTCCCCATCTTTTATCTAGGAGAAAAGCTGCTCAGGGAAACGCATTAAGTGGCTCACATTTCCCTAGAGGGTGATGGTGATGAGCCTGATTACGCATCTTTGAGCTGGACCTGTCCTGTGTCAGAGCCTTCTTTCTCCCTGTGGTCTGGGAAACTGTGCCCCAGCCTTGGAACTGAGGGGATCCACCCTGCTTGGGGTGGCGACTGACACTTCGCTCCAGGTGTGGCATTCTAAACTAACAAAGTGAGCCCCATGATGGTTGTCACTCATAATTATCATACCCTCAAGGAAGGGGGATGTGGCCTGGTCATTGGCCCCTGGAGATTTCCTACTGGCTCCAGCTTCTTTCCCACTAGAAGCTGCCAGGACTAAGCAGGTATGGGAGGTCAAAGCACAGGCAGCGCAGACAGCCCACGGCTGTTCTCCCCCAATGAGGAGGAGGAATTTGTGATCTCGGTTCTCAGCCTCTGGCCCCCAGGAGGTTCCTGGTTGCATGGAGTCGTTCAGTGTCCACTTTGACAGTGACCTGCGACACTGAGTTTCCAGCCCGAGAGCCGCGGAGCTCTGAGGCGGTGCTCCCGTCACATGGCCAGGCAGTGAGCCAGCCCTGAGTCTCGTCCACATGCTTTTCTTTTGGGCAGCTTGTGATCCTGATGCCGCATCTGCAGTGTCTGAGAAGAGGTTGCTATGCAGGATAGAAGTGTGTAGGGAATGGTGTGCCTTAGATCATTAATTACATTTTGCTAGGTCTATTTTCTTTTTAAAGTATCTAGCTAGCATATGCTATTTGAAGTATGTCCTAGAGGAAAAATACATGCTTTTGATAAATATCTAATAGAATCTTCCCCACATTCTGTTGCTTAGGAAAATACACTGCAGTCTTTGCATGGCTTGTTTAAAATGCCCCAGTGTTTTGCAGTTTGCCGGTTGCGATTTGGATTTCAGTAGCCTGTATAGATGAATTGTGTAACCCACTTCCTCCTGTTCTGCTGCTTCATCTACACTGTGCATAATGTGACCGTTCTTGATTTTTCTTATTCATTGTTACCATTTTTAATGGCAGCTTTTTTTTCCCTTTGTAAGTATGTTGTGTCTATCTTTTATTGTCTGCATCTCTTAAGCAATACCTTGGCAGGGGTTGGGCAAGGCAGCTTTGAAGAGAGTGACATGTTTCGGTTTCTTCCTAATTTTATCTGGTGATAACAACATCAACATAGCTGGATGTGGTGGTGCAGGCCAGTAATCCCAGCTACTCCAGAGGCTGAGGCAGGGGCACCGGAAGTTTTAGCCGAGCCCGGAAACCCGGAAACCTTGATGACTTAGTGAGTCCTCAAACGACACAACATGATGCAAAGCAGAAGACAGGACTGGGTCATAGCTTAGTGTGAAGGTCCTGGGTTCAATCTGTAGTACCGCACAACAGTCACAACAGAGGGTAGGCAGCTGGCTTGTAGGGAGCTCTGGATTCAATCCCTAATACGGAGAAAGGAAAGATGTTAATCCTTACCCAACATATATGTGCAACAGGCAGTGCGCCAGACTCCCAGCGGAGAAATGTGAGTTAGTAATGGTCCCTATCTCAAGGGATTTGTATTTCATCATGTCGGGGGTAGTTACTCAAATAAGACACAAGTTCACTTTACATGGCCCCAATCCATGGGTTCACAAACTGACCCAGCCCTGGGCCCTTTTTTTTTTTCTATAGCCTGTAAACAAGGAATTACTTTTATATATTTAAAGATGTGGAAAAACAAAAACAAACAATAAAAAGGTTACACCATAGAGTTTATATGGCAGCAAAGCCTGAAATTTTTATTATGTGGCCCTTTGAGGAAAACATTTGTGAACCCCTGGCTAATGCAAAATATAAATGGTTTACTTAGCTATGGTGGATGTAGTCTTAGCAGTGGTAAATATAACAGAATTTTCATTTCTGCTGCTGTGGTTTTGCTTACACCCTTCCAACCAAGAGTTCCACCTTCCAACCAACCAGGAGTTCCACCTTTCATTTTTCCACATCTGGGAGTGCTAGGTGTCCTGCACTCAGCCCTAATGTGGGTGCTATGAGCTATTTTCTTAGAATTCTTTCTATCCCTGGTGATGCCGTTCTCTGGCTTAACCCTTAACTGACTCTTATTGCTTGTGAAATTACAAGTCCCTTAGGCCTGAGTACCCTGTCCTTACCTTTGACTCCTTTTCTGCTTCATTTATTGGAAATTCTTCCATCTTTTCTTCTTTTAATTTGACCACCCTTCCCTAGTTGGTACTTGTGTAGCCTTCAGCCTTCAGTGCAGATTGACTACTCTTCCTCCATCCCTGTCCTTGCACAAATTACAGATTCTTGTCTTGTGTCCTCCATTAGGTTATGAGTGTTCCTCGGTAAATATCTTATTGTTATGTCCTAAACAGCTGGCACAATCCCTGGCAATGTAGAAAATATAAATGTTTGTTGAGTGACCTGCTTTCTCCATTATTTGCCTTAGGGCAGAGATGCCACTATTTTTTGACTCCAGGTTCTAGAGCATAGACCAGGATTTTTGTCATCTGAGCACTACTGACATTTTCATGGCTCAGTTCTTCACTGCAGGAGGGCTGACCCAGTGTTGCAGTGTTGGGCCCTTGTATCACTGTCTTCCCTTCCCCCATTTGTGACCAGCGGAGTGACTGCTGCCCTGTCAGATGTCCCTTGGGTGAAGAGTAGCCGGGAATCACCAGTGTGGACCAGATGCTGGTGAATGGCAGTTCTGCACTGCCATGGAAAGCGAGCCCTGAAGTCCCCTTTCTGTGTGACATCTCTCTGCCGACCGAGTCATGCATTTCTCTTCTTCCCTCCCTGTGCCTGCTGGACATTCTTGAAGAACCCTGGAGGAGAATATCCTTGGCATCGCTCTCTCCCTGGCACAGCGGAATGGCGTCTCCTGCTGGGAAGTCTTAATGACCCACTTGGAGTTCCTGTTCACAGACAGTGGGTGAGTGTGCACTTCCGGTGCGAGTTAACATCTGTGCCTGTGCTGTTTGAAGAATCTTGAAGTTGTAAAATAGAATTTTCAGGTTTTCTTCTCAGCTCTAGTAGACCCATATCTCAATACATTTATTTTCCCTCTTATACTTTTGATACACTGATATTCTCACAATACCCTGTCAGCCTTTATTTTTCAGTAACAATAGCCTTGCTTTAGATAATTTAATATTCGTTTTTTGTTTCGTTTAAAGATTTTTGCTGGGATTCTGTTCACATGTTAGACACAATGCAAGAGTGGGCACTGTCTTGGAACTTAGTCCGCAGTGAGGGACAGATGGCCATTGAATGATGTCCTAAGTACGAAATTAAGACGTGAGCCCCGTTAGGAGATTTGGGGAGACTTCCCTGAGGAAATAGTGCCTGAGCTGTGCAGTGGCTTGGGTATGGTTTGAGAGTTCCAGTTACACCTTCGTCCCCACTGTGAGGTATGAAGAAAGTGGAAATTTAACTCTGCTAGAATGGGTGGAGGTGAGGTTCTTGGGAGGTGTTAGGATTAGATGAAGTCATGGGGTGGAGCCCCCACAATTAAATATGGCAGCCATGGAAGAAGAGATACCAGAGGGTATACTGCAAGGGTGATGGAAATAGATGATGAGTGATTACATTTTTTAAAAATGTAAGAGACACATTGCCATAAATTACCCTCAAAATTCTTACTCTCACTTCACACACCCTTCTTGCCAATTCCTGAAGCAGCACTGAAAGTCCACTTTCTGAGATTCTTTAGGAGGTATAATAAAAAATACCAGCCTTATTCACCAGATCTGGCACTGTGTGACTTCTGGCTCCTCCTCAAAGTTGAAAGGACTGTGAAAGACAATTGTTTTGAATCCATTCAGGACATCAAGGCAGCCAAGACAGTGCTACTAAAGACCCTCAGGAAAGAGGACTCCAGAGCTGCTGTGGAAAGTTGCAAGGACGATGGGATGAGTGTGTTCAAAGCCAGGGGAGGATTCTGAGGGGATTGATTCATGGCAGTGTGTCTTTCCATGTAACAAATCTTTCACTTTTTTTTTTTTTAATTTTAAGCTTTAATTGAGTTTATTGGTACATTTTAGGGATACAGTACAGTTACATTCATTGTTGGGATCTTGTACCTCTCCATGACAAGTCTTGATTCTCATTTTTTCCCCTTACCTCTGCCCTCCCTTCACCCCCTCCTCCCCTCCCTCATGTAACAAATCTTAAAATTGAAGCAAACACCATGTTTTGTTTTTTTTTATCGTACTTTGTACATGTGTGTGGCCTGTCCTTCTCCATGAATTGCTTTGCTTGCATAACCTCAGGACTCTGCTAGCAAGAGGCCATCTCTAGATATGCTCCCTGCTCCTCAGATCTGTGAGTTACATCTATCTCTTTTCTTTATAAGGTGGCCAGACTCAGGCATTGTGTTGTAGTAAAGCAAAATGCACCATTACAAGCATTTTCCTCATTGTTGAGAGTGAGTTTGCTACAATTCCCTGCACCACAGGCCGAAGGGAACTGTATCCTAGGTAACCCATGCGCTCAGGCTTGGCAGTGCTTCCCATCCTCCTCCTCTTCCTCGTCTGGACAGCAAGCAGGTCTAAAGGCCAGGGTCCTGCACCTTGATTGACTCCATCTCTACCTTCAGCCCCTCGGGTGGCTCCCAGGACCTCTCTTGGCTGGCAGAGATCATGTTCTGTTCTGGCTGTTGAGTTCGTATCAGCGCCTTGAGACACGGGAGGGTCCCCATTCAGAGGGAGGGCGTCCCCACTGTCAGTCTGTGCTCTCCGGGAGTAATGTTGTTTTATTACTTCAGTGTTACAATGTAAATTAAAACAGAAATATAGGATTGGGAAAAATGCATTTTAGAGAGGGAATGTTTCATGTACATACTCGGATGTAGGTCTTGCTGACTTTTTAAAATTGAGCCATAAATTTGGAGGTTGAATCTTCCCTTTCCCTTTCCCCTTCCTTTTCCTCTCCTCCCCTTTCCTTCCTTTCCATCCCTCACTTCCTTTTGATCTAGTTACAAAAAGAACTTCACCAGGACTGTAATTTACATTGTTCATAAAAAGAAATCTACCAGTCCCAAAAACGGAAACACGGAAATGCCAACAATTGCTGCCATTACCAAAGTGGATGCAGCTCCTTCCTCATGCTTGCAACTCTGACTTCCACATCATGATCCTCGGCACCATTTATCCACCACCCAGAAGCATGGGGTGGGGTGGGGTGGGTGGGAGGGCTTGGGCTCCTCCCCTGTGGACAAGCGGTTTACCGGACTCGACCTTCACTGCTCTAAGACAACTATTTTCATCCAGTTTCCAGAACTGCTCTGAGATTAAAGGAAGTATACAAAACAACTGACATGCAGTGGGTGCTCAAAAAACAGCAACAAGAAGGAATCTACTATTAATTCTGGGAACATACCAGACCTGGAAACTCGTTTTAAGAGCAGTATTGCACATTTGACTTTTGAACGGTTATTTTTCAAGTCAGTGTAGATGTCAATTATTGTTTTATGAGAACTGAATGGATGATCATAAGTGTTCAAGAATGATGCCTATTACTGGTCTCGTGCTGTGGTGTTCCTTAAACTGTTTCATGTTAGAGATGTGATAGGAACCCATGTGAGCCAGTCAGAGTTGACAGTGTATGGCAAATTAAAAGTCTTAAGGGGATGGGGCTGCTCTTCCAGCGGAGGTAACACCTATCCGTGTGGCCTTCAGTGTCAGTACCCTGCTCATCAGTAAGCATCCTGGAAGGAACTCCTGGGTGTCCAACTCCACACTGCTCATCACTGATTCTTCACCACCTGTTCAGGTGACCTGGAACATTAATTGAGTTCTGCCTGCCCAGGTTTTCCCTGAGTGGGCACAGGTTGCCATCAGGTGGTGTGGAGGAGCTGTCATTAGACGCAGACTAGCACTTTCCTGCAGCCTCCCTTCCCTTGTGAAGTGGGGGTTTTTCCCAGGTGTCACCGGTCCTGCTCTCAGGGTGGGTCTGGGGGCCCGCGGGTGTCAGGCCACAGACAAAAGCTCGGCTTCAGGGGTTGGGGAGCAGAGGCCAAAAGCAGAACCCGAAAGACCCCACTTGACTGTCTCCACCTCTTTCTTCTTAGGGATTTTTGTCTGCACTTCAGCTTCCTTCAGAGAATAAAAATTAGACCTTCTGCAGAGGGTTATGAGAAAGACTGAGTGAGGCAGTAGAATTGGCAGACGTGCTGGCAGCTACCTTGGGTTTTATTTGTGTCCTTTCGCCTTCTTGCTCTCCCTCCAGCCTCTCCCTCTCCCTTCTCTTCCTTTGTTCTGCCCCATCTGTCTCCCCTGATGAGTATCCCTTTCCCTCAGGTAATGGAATTATACTACTACTCAAGCTTAGAGGGAGTGAAGAAAAATGTATTTAAATAAATTTGTTTTCTTCTACAAATATAAGACCTTCAGATGCATGCTGTTCTTGAATTGCCTTTTGGGGGGCAAGTGGCAACTTGAAACTATGGCAGAATGCCTTCAGTGAGGATTAGTACAATAATTTATTCCTTGTACATGGAGTATAGCTAATGCTGCCTTAGTCATCTCAGAAAGCAAAATATGCCCCATACTTATAAGCTTCGTTACAGCTAAAACTGGGTTCAGAAAAAAAAAAGTGCTTAAACTGTTTTTAAGGGTAATCATTAATATGATTAGTGAAAAGCCCACATCAGTTTCATGGTTTTTCTTCCTGTTCTCTTGCTTATCCTGAAGAGAAGATAGCAACTTCTTTCGTGGAAACTATTAAAATGGATTATTGATCATGGGCATCTATAAAAGATCTGAGCTCATTGTAATTTACTGAAGAGGGAGGTTGGGGTATTTATCATGTGCTGGCAAAGGAACTGCAGTCCTGACAAGATAATTAGGTAAAATTGCACACAAGGCAACCTGCATTGAAGGCGCAGAAGAGTGAGTGGGTGGGCAGAGGAGAAAGTAATGTTGATGGAGAGAGAATGGATTTAGAATTAATTCAAACACAGATAAACTAAATAAACTATTATTATTTAGCTACTGTCCACTTTATAGATGAGCCTGTCTTGAATACTGTGTTTATCAGTGTTAGGGATAAAGCACAACAGGAGTGCTCTCATGGATTATTGCCATCAGGGAAGAGCTGATACTCGGGTTACAGAAAGAATCCTGACTTTGAGGACGGTGGCAGTGGTGCTTGACCTCCAGGAATCCACGGTCACTCTGGGCAGTGGTGAACAGATGTGCTCTCGAGTCCAGGCAGGCGTGGGGTTTGGACGAAGGTAGGGCCCTAACCCTCTCCATGGCAGCTGCTGTCTGCATCCTGATAACTCCCCGGTGTTAACTTACAGGTGTCCTCACCATCTGCTAAGTGCAAATTTGTTCTCCATCATCCCTTCTCTTCTTTGTCAATACAAATCAGCTTCCTGGGGTGACACAGCTTATTCTTTAGCCCCCCCCACCATGCTTTCCACCTCATTTGGCAGAAAGTCAGGACACTGTGTGCACTGGACACTTGGGAAATGATCATGATACCAGGAGCAGTGGCAGGACCCAGGGGGTTTTCTCGTCAGCCAGCTGTTTATGCCCAGAGTCCTCACACGGGCTGGTGCTTTCTTGTCTTGGTGCTTTTGTTTGAGTTATTTCTGTTCCATTCCTCTCTGCGTTGCCAAACTCGAGTTCTTTTCATTAAGCCTTCTGTTGTCACCGATTGCCACCTCCTCTGAAGCCATAGCTTTTCTCAATCCCACTGTTAACTGGAGCACAGTTTTGTGTCCTTTGTCAGCCTGTGCCATTGATTTGCACTGTTATTTAATTCCCAGTATTTATAATGCAACTGAATTTTTCAAACCTAGATATAAGTCCTATGCTGTAAATCTTTATGTCCTTGCCAGAGCGGGCACCTTGAGTACAGAGGGCACTTGATTCTTTTGCTTATCTGCCCATCTATGGCATTCATAAGGCATGGACTGAGTGCTTCCTGTGTATTGTGCCCTGGGTCTTGGTGTGGAGAAACTGAAGGTAAAGAGGATGTAATATGGTCTGTGCCATCAAGCAGCCCTGGTCTAGTGAGGGAGCAGACAGGTGATCAGTACTGAAAATAGGATATGAGCACCAGGTGCTGGTAGCTCAGAAAGGGGCAGTCGGGGAAATTTTTGTAGACATGGGACATATTTATATAAATAAGTGTTTGAACTGTTTTAGCAGAAAAGAAATATTTCTCTTAAAGTGAAAGTAAAAAGACTGTTTTTAGCGAAACCTGATATTTTGACTCTATAGTAGTCCATTTTATACTATTATTAATTACACTCATAAAAAATTTAAAACAATTGATATCAACTTTACAAGAACATGCCTTTTGGCACTTTCTGAAAATAGTAATCCCTGGAGACGAGGTATCTATCCTGGTTCACTGGCACTGCTTTTAAACCCTGGGAAACAGAACCTCGGTACCCTGAGGTCTCTCTTGCCACCACACTCCCTGTGGCTTGCCTGGAAGTGCTATTTCCGGTGGTGTGGAGGGTGGCCCGGGGGGCGGGGCTAGGGAACTCATTCTGTCCCTGAGATACAGAGCCAAAAATCCACTCTTTCCCTCCCTCTGCAAAATCTTGTCAGACTAATCAGTCAAACAAAAATAACTTCATTTCTTTTGACCTCAATTAGATTAACCTTAAGTGCCTCTTTTTAAAAATTATGTTACAGAGACATTAAGTTACATGAAAATACAGGATACATCTTTGAGTCACGTGGCATTAAATAGATCATTCAAGTAAAAGTACAGTTACTTCCTCTTTCCTGTTTTACTTGAACACAGTATATAAAATTGGAGTCTATTGAATATCAATGCAAGACCCTTGGATGTTAAACTTATTCCTAAAAGTGTGGGCCTTTCTCCCCCTCCCTGTCTCCTGAGTTCCAGGAATAACGAGGTTTGTGCACAGCACTTCTGTACAGAGGCGAGTTTACAGTTTTCTCGTGATGTGAGGAAGTGACTCAGAGCAGGAGCCTGAAGCCTGAAGCCTGGGCTTGCTTCCCTGTTGGGCACCTTGGACAGCACCACAGCTGCAGGAAGCCAGGCTTTTGCAGACCCAGCAGGGCCACATTTGCTGTGGGCACAGGGCATGCCTTTGTGTAGGCTTCCTGTGTCTTGGCAGTTCTGTGTCTTTGATTAGGCACGAAGAAGGACCTGTAAGAACTAACCATTCTTCCTGGGTGAACAAAACAAGCGGGCCATGTCATTGAGGCCCCAGCCCTCACACAAGCCCTCTGGCTCTTCCTTGCAGTTTGTCCACTGCAGAAATTGAGCAGCGGGCCCAGGCCCTTCACCTCTTTGAGACTCTGAAGACAGATCCTAAAGCCTTTCACAGGCACATGGCCAAGTACATCTACCCCTCCATTGGTGGCCTTGACCACGAGAGGCTTCTGTATTATTTCACCCTCCTGGACAGCTGTGGCTGCACGAACTTTGGGAACCCAGCCATGAAGCCCGATACCCACATTAGGCTGCTGAAGAAGTTTAAAGTCGTTGCAGCAGGTAAGCGCTTGTGTCCCTGGCTGAACACACCCTTTTCAGCTCCATCTAGGGATTATTGTCCTGTCCAGTCAGGCTCGGACACTGGCTGAGAGAGACCTGAAACCGAGGGTCGTAAAGGTGATCAACTTGAGCTTCATCCTTCAACCTCTTCATGTACAGCCGAGGGGATTTAATACCCAGCAAATTAAGATGCCTATTGAGAGTCACGCAATGACTTCTGGAGATTTGGTACGAAAATCTACCTGTCCACAAATTTTTTCCTACTCCTGTGTCTTATATCCTATATCTGAGGTGTGACCTAAAAATACAGCGAATGTGTACATTTTAAAACTTATTACAGTAAAAGACACATTGCCAAGAAAGGTGGGATAAATGTGTCTCGGCAAGGGGCACTGTGTATTTTGAGGGGATTGGTGGCAATGTCTTTTTTTATAATTGTTTAAACACTCTCCTTATTTATATGTTTACACACACATACACATGTATATATTTGACACATGTCTGAGACATTTAGCAAGAGGCCATTTGGCAGAATTTCACTTCAGTGGAACCTATTTAAAATATGTATACAGACTTTCATCTTGCGTAGTTGTGGAAATCTTTAGAATGGTGTCCTTATTCTCATAACTAAGAATTTAAGCTCACTAGTACCCCTCGTATCTCTTGGATGCTTTATACCTGTGTGACACTTTCCAGGCTGCCCATCTGCTAGTCACAGCATTTATGAGAGCTCACTTCAGTTGATCAGTCATTTACTGAGTAAAAGGAGTGAGGTTGACTCCCTGCCTTCCAACAGTGGGAGAAGTGCCAGACGAGTAGCAAGGAATATAATGCAGTTTGGCAGATGAACCCATGAGCTGTGAGGGGCAAGGAGGCCAGGAGATGCTGCCTTCTGGAGGGTGCAGATGAGGAAACTGAGGCACAGGTGTGCCTGACCTGCCCAGGCTTGCACAGCTGAGGCAGTGCCACACAGGGATGAGAACTCAGGCCTTCAGCCCTTCTGGGTGAAGCCCAGACTGTGCAGGAGTTGGCAGGTGTTTTCACTCGGCCGTACGGAGGGCCTGTGTGTGCTGCAAAGTATCTGAGTGTGCACATTGGAACAAGCCACTCACTGCCTTCTTCTTCCCTTTCTTCCCGCTAGGACTTAATTACAAAAAGCTGACAGACGGAAGCACGAGTCCTCTTGAAGCCTTGGAGCCGGTTCTCTCAAGTCAGAATATCTTACCCATTTCTAAACTCGCACCCAAAATCCTTGGGAAGGACGGAGGGACACTCTCTGCGAGCTCACTGTACACCATCTGGCTGCAGAAGCTGTTCTGGACGGGGGACCCTCACCTGCTCAAGCAGGTCCCCGCATCCGCCCCAGATTGGCTTTGCGCCTATGATGTCTGCGTGAAGTACTTCGATCGTCTGCACCCGGGTGACCTCATCACGGTGCTGGATGCAGTTACGTTTTCTACAGAAGCTGTGACCAAGGTAACTTCAAAACTTCTGAGTTTAAAGTAGATCAGGTCCTTTAGAAGAAGTGAAAATTGCTCTTGGATCTTACAGATATGTTTTGGTTTCTTTTCTTGATGTGGAAAATAGTTACAATTGACTTTAATTTATTATTTCTTATTTCTTGCTAAGCACAAGGTGTCCCAGTTGGGAAATCATTTTCCTGTATTACAGATGTACAAACAGTAGAACTCAGATTTGCCTGGGCTGATTTACATGTACAAGTTCTAACAATACATCATATAATGGAAACTACACCAGGCATTCTTTCCAGTTGTCAGTGTCAGGAAACTCCACTGCCAAGCCCAATTCCCCTCGCTCAGAACCCAGGCTAACACCTCTGGCTGAGTGAAATTTTCCCATCACACCAGTTTGTCTGAGGGCTGGGGATGCAGTTCAGTGCAGCGCATGCTTCCCACACCCACGCCTGGGGTGGCCCCGGGACTGGAAACGAACCTATGGAGGCTATGCTGTGAAAGACGTGGCTGTGAGATCATCCGCAGGAGTGTATGCCACGTGTGCCAGGGCTCTGTGCCATGCTGAGCCCTTCACTCCATTCTAACATCTGCTCTCAGACCCTCAGCAATGTGCAGTTTCACTCGGAACAGATGATATAAGAGCGGGAGACATGGGGCACACCTATCACCCCAGCACTCAGGAGGCTGAGGCAGGAGGAATGACTGAGTTCAAGGCCATCCTGGACTACCTAGAGAGACCCTCCTGTCTCAAAAACAAAAAACAACCAAAAATAATTGGAGCACGTTCTCATCACCTAAACTAATCACCTTCTACTTTCAAGATGTCACCAGCCGCCTGTAAAGAGGCGGTGTAGTTGGCTGTGTTCATAGTTTCATTCTGCTAAAGAAAAGATGATCAGCTGATACAGTCTGTTAATTATTGTTTTTTCTTGTAGCTCAATAGAATAATCTGAGTGTAGACATTTCTTTAGACTACGCTCAGAAGCTGGTGGGAGCTGGTTTTCCCTCCGTCGGGTAAATTATAAAGAGGTGAATCAGTTATATTCAAAATTAATTTTATACCTTTATCATTTTACTAATAGAGAAGCTTTTTATTTTCTGATCAGAGAGAGAAGTACAAAGTTTAAATAAACTCCATGTTTGAAACCACACGGTGGGGAGAGGGAGTGCAGCTGGATTTGCCCGAGTTTGCAGAAATCCAGATGTTCTCTCAGCTGGCACGTGATGTTAAATGTGAAAGAAGTGTGTTCTATTTATGCTCTGTGTGCAGTCTTCAAATGTATCTCCACATGGAATTCAGAACCAGATTTCTAGAAAGACCTGGAAGCTTTTCTATTTGTTGTATCTATACTGTTTTTAAAACAGTAAGCAGGGCCAGGGATTTAGCTCAGAGATTCTGCTGCCTGCCTTGCAAGCACAAGGTCCCGAGTTTGATCTCCAGTACCAAACAAACTAGTGAAAAAACAGTAAACAGTTGTTCAGGTAAAAGCTTTCAGAGAGGAGCACCCCAAAGCCTGAGCTCAGTGCAGGGTGGTCACACACACCAAGGGGCTCTGCATTTGTGGTGCTGGCTGCTCATGTGACATCTGCGTAGCAAATTCTGGGGCAGATATCCACAAAGGGTCCGGTGTGGGCCATTCGGAGGCTGCATTTGCATGATGCCTGTGGTGGTGAATGTGCAGAGGGGAAGGGACACCCATGGTTACAGGGCGTTTAGCTGAAAATCTCAGGTGCTCTATTTGGCTGAGTCTGATTCAAGCTGCTCTCCTGTTGCTTGTCCAGTTCTGCAGGTAGAAAGTTTTCATAGATGGGGCCAAGGGAACCCAGAGACATGGAGGAAGATGCAAGGTCCCAGCTGGGGCCCAGCACGGCATGGTCAGGAAAGGGAGAGCGCGTGTGGCCCTAGCCTTCATTCGCAGACGCAGCTGCATCTGTAGAGAAATGCATGGAAATTACTCCTGTTGCTTAGGAAATGTGGGATTGGCCAGAACCCTTCTCTGAAAATCTCAGAAGCTCTGGTGTCTCACTTGCTGCTCCCCAACTGCAGTGGGTCGGGTTCCCCACTTGCCTCCCAGCCCCCACCCCTCATCATCCCAGCGGACAGTAAGTCTCTGCTCCTGATGAGGACCTGCTGGCTCTTCTGAGTTGGAGCAGAAAACTGACTTTTCTCTCCCTCCCTTCCTCCCTTCTCCTCTCTCACTTTTTGATTTTTCGCTCTGGATCTATGGAAAGAGCACAGGGCATTTCTGTTTCATATTATGACTGCTCAGAATCTGAATTTTCCTCCTTCCTTTTTGAGGTGGCTCTTGCTGTGTTGCCCTGGCTGGCCTTGAACTCATGATGCTCCCACTTCGACCTCCCAAATGGCTGGGATGACAAGTGTGCACCAGCACGACCACATCGTTTCTGCCCTTATCCTAGTACTAGTGCTTCTGACATAAAAAAAATCTGGAAGAGTCCATTTGACAGCCATAATTTGACGAAAAATGAAATTTACCTCTCAAGGGCTGTACTGTAACCATAACATCTGGGTCCGTACAGCACTAACACTTTTCTAACTAAGGATAGTGACTGTATCTTTCACCATAATGATTAATCATTGTCTGAGGCCTATGTACATGTGTTTAGGTAAAGTATATTACCAGATTCCTTGAAATGATAGGTGCCTTTTTAAAAAATTACGTTTGCAGTTTTGCAGCACTGGTGATTGAATCCAGGGAACACTAAGCTATATCCCCAGGGGCCCCTCCCCTTTTAAATGCATTTATTGACTTTCTCCTGATGACTGTGAGATGGTGTCTTGCTGACCTGCCTAGGCTGGCGTCAGGTTTGTAATACTCCTCCTGCAGCTGCTGTGACTACAGCCTGAGCCCCCACACTGGGCTTGCCACCTGACTGTGTCATGCATGAATCAAGTGCGTTTTACACAGCTTCAGATTGAGTCATGAAATATTCAGGCTTAGCTCTATAGGAGGCATCAGGCTATAAAGATAAGCTTGTAAGGGACATAAAATGAGGGTTCTAAAAAAATTGACAGTAAAATAATTTTTAGATTATTATACTCGGAAAGTACATTCTCCATGAAACTGGGATTTTAAAAAAGACAACAGGAACCAACATTTATTAAAACTTTACTGTGTATGTATTTGTTAGAAACAATATTTATTCAAAGCTTATTGTGTGTGTGGCTGGCACAGTGCCTCATCCCATGGTCAGGAAAAGAGAGAAAGAGGTCGGGCTCCCACAGCCCCCTTCAGGGCAGGACCCCAGGGTTCCCCTTGGAGCCTCCATCACCTCCCATGCGGCCATGTGGGCTTTGTCATTGTTTTGATTGAAGTACATGAACTTCCTGTCTAGGCTGACTAAGACAGGAGGTTGGGGAAGGGAGAGATAGTTTACTAGCCTATAATTTGAGGGGTGCTTTGACACTACGCTGAAACTCAAAAAGTTCTTAGATATGAGTTGCAGTGTGGAATCTAGAAAAATATATTGAGCCTTTTGTTTCCTGTTACATTGAAATCGTTGGTCTAGAATTATTTGAATGGACCTTTTACCTAGGTATGGTTCTGTCATAACTACTTAGCTGTGCATATGTTTGGAGATGCCCCTTCACTGAGGCATGAAGGCTATCCAGATGTTGCAATGCTGCGTTATACAATACACAAGCCCCATTCATTAAGGCGAGCAGTAGTCTCAGAAGTCTTTACCTGTCTGATGCTGTCAGACTCACAGTGGCAGATGCAAAATTCTTGTTTTTTCTTGAAAGCACACAGTTTGTTACTGATGGCAGAGACTGAGCCCCTGCTTTCCTGAGGTGACAGGCTGACTTTGTTCGTGTTGGAGAGTTTGTCTGCCAAGCACCCCAGCCCCACAGACCTACTGGGTTTGTTGGTTGCTCTTTGAAGCCAAAATGATGCTGTGTGCAAGCAACATCTACTTCAGCTCAATTTAAATAATTGCACAGATCCATTTTCCTGGTCTGTATGAGTGAAGTACTTTATCCATACATCTCCTTACTTCACTGAGAATATTAGAAACACTACACCCAGGTAGTGCGATTTAACACAATTAAACATTTTTATTCTTTCGCAGGAACATTCTTGTGAAAATGACAGTGAAGAATATAAATATAAAGAGTACAAATCAAACAATAGAAATGCTATGGCTTGTATCAACCCCCCTCCCAAAGCCTCATGCAGTCATAGCGGGGCCTTTCGGGCATGGCTGGATGTAGGTGTGTGATGCTGGGATCAAGGATATGATCCTGGGATTGACTCACGATGCAATGCTAGGATTAAGGATGCTGTACCCTGGGTGTGAGTGCCACCAGCCCTAAGGGTGGGTAGTTAGATGTGATACAAGGGACAGAAAGAGGGTTGCTGCTTGTCATTTGTTGCTTGCTGCTTTGCTATCTTCTGCCCGCCATGAATTGTTTCTACTCTGCGATACCCCTCTGCTATGTATGACATCCTGCCTTGGAGCCCCCTGATTATGGGCTGAAACTTCTACAAACTGTGAGCCAGATAAACTTTCCTCCTCTGACTTTGGGTGTCAGGTATTTTATCTCAGCAATGAGAAAAGTAACTAATGCAATAAATAAAATTTGTTTGGTCTGTGCTGAGCACCCAGTTTCCCCTCTGTTGCTTTCCCCCTCAGCCCATGTTAACATAGTAAAAAAAAGGTAAATGACAGCCTAGCATTCTTCTGAAATCAGATGTGACCTTGCAGACCTCTTGCAGGAATCTTGAGACACTTGTAGTTTATGGACCACAGTGCCATCAGAGGTTCTGATTTCTAAAACCACATCCACAATGGATCCCTACCTAAAAGATCATTCCCCATAAATTATTAAGAGTGAGTAATACAGATATGTCCAGCAAGTGCAGAAGTAGTAATCTTCAAATTTTAATTTCTTACTGGATGAATTTCTGACCTGCTTTCTCTGTGTAGAAGAGTTATGCATAGTTTGAAAATGGAAGGTGAAATATATACATATTACTT